TCGCAGCGATTTGCAGTTTTTCTTCTGTTCAGTTGGTTTGCTTTCTTATGCCACTGCTTTTGGCTTGAGCGTTGCGAGAAAATATTTTCATTTCCGAGGGACTGGAGGCGCACATTCTATTGCCAGTCTATTGCCAGGACTGCTGGAGCAAGAGCCAGCCAGGTCAGAAGGACGACAGACCGACAGCAGGCGGACGGAGATTGCGAGCTCTTTGCAGCTTGCTGGTGCTCCAACTTTATTGGCCTGGCAAAAGTTTTGTGCCGTCACTCGAGCCGGAGTCTGGGGCGATTTAAGTTTCCGCAGAGCACGAGCAACAGCACCATTGCCAGCACTGTATACTAGTCCTGACTACAGCTCAGCCCGGCTCAACCAGCTGGCTGACTTTGACTGACGGCAGCCGTAGTCCATGCTAATGCCCCGACTGCAGATAAATCCGGGGCCATTGGCCGGAGCTACCACTACTCCTGGCTAGTGGGCCCTGACTAGTCCTGCAATAGTGCCATTGATTTAACTAAAAGAATATTGATTTAATGCCATAATTCAGTGTCCGACCCAACTAGAATGTGCCAACTGACTTTCAATCAATTTAACGCATAATTCCTGATGGATTTAAACGTAATTGATGATTGATTATCATCTGCCACGGTGCTCGAAACTCTAGAGAGCCATATTTTTTCCCTTTATAGTGAGTGGGAGGTCTACACAGAAAATATTAAATATACGTTTTAACAACTTATTAATTATTTTATAACATCTTTTCGTTTCAGGTTGGTATGAAGCTCATGTTCTTGAAAAATACAAAACAAAGTAATAGGTGAGAGTTCTGTGGGATGTTTGTTTATAAAACTATAATCCTAAAGCCTTTATTTTTATGATTTATTTCTTAAAAATTAATAATCTTTTAAGTAAGCTTTAAGTTAGCTCAGCGAGCTGAAAAGAGGAAACCTTTTCCTTTAGTGCTGTACAAAGGGGCGTATGCGTAACGCAGCCACACTGAAGAACACTTTTGGCAGTCATTCCAGCTTAATACCTTTTAATTTATTTTCGCTTAGCTTAATCGAACGCTCCACGCTGGCCGCTTGGCTCTCACCTTGGCCAGCTGATACAGCCTGCAATGGTCTTTTCATTAAGTTGCCTCACATAAATCAATGTCACGAGGATGGGGATGAAATCCGAAACAGCAACGGCAACACCAACGGCATCAGCAAAACTGCAAAGGAAAAGTAGCAGGAGGAGCAGGAGCTGTAAGGACTCCTGGATTTCCCGCTGATATGCCACTGTGGTCTACATCAAAGCCGTCGCTGTCCAAGTATTTTTAATTTTAATCAAATGCACGACGTGCCCCATCTCTCCCTGCTTCCTGCTTCCTGCCCGTGCCCCCTGTATTCCCCTGTGTCTTTCATTTGACTTGGCCATTTCAATTGCTGAGCAATTCCTTAATGGCTTGCTCACCCTTTCTTCACTCCAGCTAGCCCCGCCTCTGAGTCCTTAGATGTAAATAAAAATGCATTGCACTGCCATTTCCTGTGAAAGCCAAAAGCATTTGATGTAACTCATTTCAGCTTATGCAGCGGCCACGTGACGACAATTTTGTTCCCCCACCACCATGCCGCTGCCACGTTTTTTATGCTCCTGCCCCACTCATTTGTATTTGTATTTGTATTTGCTCTATTTGTGTTTGTCTGTTTGTGTGTGAGGGCGAGTCTCTTATTTTTTACTTTTTGCTTTTTATTTTTTATGTTAAGCTTTACTTTTTTGTCCGCATTGCAACGGCTTTTACATGTTTTTCTTCACCAAAGCTGTGTGAAATCAATGGAAGCTGCTTCACTCAGCCATCACCATCCTAGCAGTTGTGGCAAGAAGGCTAGGAGGCTCGGTGGGTGGGTGGCTCGCTTGAAACTGCCCCTTGTCTGTGATTGCGCAAAGTGCGGCGTTGTCCTGCGAAAGCGTTTTATTTAAATATGTACGTGTATACGCAAATATATATTTACGTATGGTTTGGAAGTGTGTGTGTGTGGAATGTTGGCATGATGGCTCAGTGGCATGGTGGTATGGTGGCATGGTGGCAGGTAAACCGTAACGTTTTAAATCTGCTTGTCCAACACTCCGGCTTCCTCCCACTTCACCAGTCCCGTATTTGTGTCAGTTCCGTGCAGATCGCTTACATTTGGCATAAAAAGGGCTGCCAACAAAAACAGCAACGGCAACGGCAGCCCGGCAGCCCAGCCCAGGCAAAAACAAGCAGCAGGACATGTTAAAAACAGTTTTATGCACTGCCAGAACGAGCTGAAATAAAATAAATATTCTGGCTGGCTGCCTCAACAGAGGCCAGAGTGAAAGGCATGGGCGTGGCCAGCTACTGCTTTTGCTCCTGTTTTGCAGGACCCTTTGGTATTTGTCGTTCAGGTTGCAGGGCTCTGGAAGGGGAAAACGCAAAAGTGCCCACGCTTCAATGCGTGTATCTGTCGCACAGGCCGAAATGCTTTAAAAAAGTGATTTTTACAGGCCGCACACTCACACTCACTTAATGATAAATACCACACACCACACCGCACACCCACTTGTAACATACGGCAGTCATATGCTAAAAAAAAAAACGAAAATAAACCAGAAATCGTAAAGTACACAGAAAGCCAAACGGTTTTTTGCCTGAATAGTCAAGTAAGCTAAGCTTAGCCAAACCAAACTCAACTGAACTGTGCTGAACTGCCGATTTGCAATTTTCGGCTTTTGGGGTTAATGAATGAGAGTCCTGCGTCCTGAGAGTCCTACATTTCGACCTTTCCGTAGCTACAAGTTTTCTCTGTTTGTTTATGCCGCACCCGCCTGCAATTGATGGTGATTGAATTTTTTGATTGATCGTTTGATTGATTGAACGAGTTGATTCTGGTCGATCCCCATGTTTGGCGTTTGTATTGTTTGCTAAAAATACCGAAAGGCTAAAAACTAATAAAAAACTAACTGCCCGAGTGGGGGGTCAGAGACTGAGAATCGGCTTAATTGAAATACAGCACCGTTCATATATGCCAGAGAAATTCAACTCCGGCGGCCTAAAAACGGAAGCACTCCAGGTAGAGGTGATGGTGTTCTTTGGGGAATTCTTGCAATTACGCTAAAAGCAATTTCAGGCCAAACTCCGCGCCTTTCTTCGCACTTTCCATTCTCCGCGCTCCCGCCGTAAAGAGTTAGTCCAGACACAACCCTTAGCCTTTGGCTCACAGGAAGGCAAACAAACAAACACATTTGCCGCCTCTAATACAGGCCCACAAATTTTTATTTAAAGCACTTTACCGGGATCGTGTTTCCTTGGCTTCGTGCTTGTTTCCTTTTCCTTATAAATCGGTGGTAGTGTATATAAGGGGTATATCTTGTTTAAATTGGACTGGATATACTAAAAATGTATTTCTTAAACTTCCTTATCATAAAGCTTACTTTTCCTTTCTTTATAGTTCTTATTCAAACAATTTATCAGTTTAGACTTTTTAAATTTGGTAACAGGTATCCTAAAGTCATTACCTTTCCATACCGATTCCTTTTTCTATTCGAGTACGAGTGTGTGTGTCATACAATCAACTTAAACTAAGATTACAAGCACCGCTCCGCTAAGCTGCTGAAAAATGTGTGCCAGCGACCACAGTGGGTCTGGTGGGTGGGTGCTTGGGTGGTGCAGGCCTTCTCGGGTGTATCCGCAAAACCACTCTCGGCAGACAGACAGACTAAAAAACGACTCCAGCATCCGCCGCGCTCCTGCATCCCCTCGAGGAGTACGCATGCTATTTGTATTTAAAATGGGATTTACCTGGGGTTTTGTCACTTCTTTTAGCGGGCTTTTAATTTGATTTAATGCGTCTACGCGTGCCGTGTTGCCAGCACCACTCCCCCACTTTCCCACTCAACCGCCAGACAGCACCACTTCTTTTTCCAGGGGGGTTGGGAGGCAAATGGGAGATGTCTGTTTTTGTTGTCAATGTTGTTGGCCATTTGTGAGAATTAAGTTTTTGGCGCCTCGAAATGTAGACAACGCACCGAAACCACCAGCACCGCCCAATCCACCGCGCCGAGGCACCACCGCCACAGTGGTAATGCCACAAAGCCCTGGAGAATTGGGCAAGTGAAAACTTGTGTTTGGAAACTTGCCGTGTGGCTGCGAAAAACTATATAGAAATGGATGCCAGTATGCCCTAGTTGTTCGGGGGAAAATGCAAATTAATTTTCCGCAGGCTTTTTGCTGCGTTCCCATTAAATATGAGTGTTGTGTGGCACCGCCCTGCATCCTCTGCGTCGTCGGCTGGCCGGGATTGCCTTGGCCTCCATCTCGGTTTATGTAAATCTTACCGCCCCGGCGTACCGCCAGATATTTTTAACCGTCACCGACGACTACCTACTGGTGCACATCAAAGACAGACAAGAACATTTTCGCTGGCGGCTAGACTTTGAACTTGGGTCTCCCGGAATGGGTCACGGGTTTTGGGGCCTGGGCTTAGTGACTGTGTTTTGGGTGAGTCGACTGGAGAACTGGGTGACTTTGGCAGACGACTCCAGTCTGTGTGTACAGGGAGCCTGTGCAGTCTTTGCTCTCGCCTCCGCCGCAATTAAGACAGATTTCTTGTTTACGATGTCCTTGGCGAATTTGCAAATCAATTCTATGCGTATTTAAAGCAATTAATTTCCCTGAATTTTAATTGACTTTGCCATCTGCTGGCCCTGTACCGGCCCTCTGTTTATTTGTTTATTTGCTTGGTTTTACCCCAACATTCTGTACATGGCCCACAAAATGGGAAGATATTGTAATTTATATATTTCCTTTGCGGTTTCCCCAAATTGATTCTGGAGTTAAACAAAAAGATTTTCTGTTTTAATGCTACATTCAATCGACACAGAGCCCTGTTCTCATTTGTACTAAAAACTAAATGTAATTTAATTTAATTAAATGCAGGAATACAATAAATTTATATTGTCCTTTGTAAAGGGAAATGGATTATCCTTTTTTGCTTTTAGTTTCATTTTAATTTGTCGGCTAAGTTCATTTGATTTACAAAGGTAACCACTGTAAAGGCCAGCTTAGCCACCTTTGAATGGAATTAAAATTAGCAATAGATTTGATATTATCGGTAATCATACCTGAATATTCGAGCTTGTGGATATTGGAAACATGGATCCGGCTGTGAAGGCTACTGGTTTTTGGGACTTGTGCAAAAAGTATATTAACGTTCTTTTGTATTCACGGCTGGAACTTAGCCAGTTTGAGTGAAATATGGCCATCTCCAGAAGATCACAGTCCGATTTCATTAGGTCGCAAACGTAGCAGAAGGGGAAGGTCTGGACCATAATGCCGGTTATATAGGCCACAGTGGCCAGAGCTGTCCAGATGTCGGCAAAGAAGAGGATGTTTATGAAGGAAATACCCAGACAAATTCCAATTAATAGAAACTGGATAAAAATAGTGCGGGTAATGGAAGGACGAATCATTTCAACGAATCTATAAACATTAAATAGTTTAAGAATAAATAGATTTTCTTCTAATTTTCTTTCTTACTCGTGTATTAACTGATGATCTTTGATACACATCACCAAATCCCCATAATTATCCTCACTGCTTTTGGCAGGATCCATGCAGAGTTTCTCCACCCTCAGCCGAAGTAGTTTGATGTGAGCTCTAAGGATCAGGCCATATAGCAAAGGATAAACATCGCTCATGAGGGTCTGGGTGACAGCGAAAAGCATGAGGACACCCTCATGCAAAGCAGCTTCCCAGAAGCTTAGGGTGTCCTTTTGCCAATCCACCAAAGGATTGTAAATGCGCCATGGCAATGCTCCGCCCATGGCAGAGGAAAGAACCGTAGAAATGGTGTAGCAGGTGTAGATCATTTGGTAGATCAAATAGGCATAATTACAGCGAACTGCCCATCGGTGGACCTCCATGCGTTCTTCCACATCCGTGCACCTTCTGTCCATGCGGCTCAGGATCTCTTTGGCCTGGTGGAATCGTTCAATGTACAATCGGAAGAACATAACCTTGAAGGGCATTCCGACTGAGTTGAAGAAGAGCTGAAGGATGGTCATCAGCTCACTGGCCTTCAAGTTTCTGATATCCATGAAAAAACTGATGGTGATTCCGACTGGCAGGTAAACAGCACTCCACATATAAATGAAGGTTGATGAAATCCAGTATAGGAATTGTAGCTTTTTCGGCGGCATCCATCCTATCCAGAGCATAGCCACTTCGAAGTAATGAAAGGCTTCTGGAGATGTGAGAAGATTTGGGGGAACAGGTTCTCGCAAGTATTCGAACAGCATTTCCCAGCTTTTCTTTTTCAATTTATCTATCGAACTGAGTGTTGACCCTTTTCAATAAAAAGTATTTATACTGGCTTCCATCCCAATTATTTATTGAAATATTCAAATTTAATTGACATATTTGGGCTGCTATTGCCCCTGCAGACTACGCTCTATTATGGAGTGCCTGGTAATCATTAGTTTAGGACCATTCGTGTCACCACATCATAAATGTTGACTAATAAACTCTACATATTCTATTCATCTTTCAGGGACTTGCCTACTGAATACTTCATGTCCTATTACATTAAATTACTGGGTGTGCCTGAAATGTATCAATTGAATTGCAGGTTTTTGATATATATACATATGTACATATGTACATATATTATTGAAAACTACACGCTACTCGTTATTAGTATTTTACTTAAATCGATCTGCCAAATTCATCTGATTGACAAAGGTTACAACTGTAAAGGCCAGTTTGGCCACCTGTGATACAAAGTATTATTATTTTTATAAATATTTCTATCCATTAATAGCCCTACCTGTATGTTGGTTCTGGTCGATATGGGAAAAATGGATCTGGCCGTGAAAGCTATTGGCTTCTGGGACCTTTGCAAGAAAAAAATCAAAGTTTTTTTGTATCGGGGGCTAGCACTTTGCCAGTTGGAGTGAAATATGGCCCTTTCGAGGATTTCACAGTCCGACTTGATCAAGTCGCATACGTAGCAGAACGGAAAGGTCTGGACCATGAGGCCGTTTATATAGTTCATGGTTGCCAAAGCAGCCCAGATGTCCGTAAAGAAGAGTATATTGATGAGGGAGAGGCCCAGGCAGAGTCCAATCAGAAGAAACTGGACGAATATAGTCCCACTAATGACGGGCCGAATGGTCACGTAAAACCTACAGAATAGTCAGATTAAAATTATAAATTAGTTGTTGATTTAGATTTGTTACTTAATTATGAGCTTGTGATCCTTGATGCATTTGATTAGATCCTCTAGATCTTCCTCGTCGCTCTTGCCAGGATGCAAATGTAGTTTCTCCACCCGAAGTCGCAGGAGCTTTAGGTGTGCTCGAAGAATTAAACCATAGGATAGGGCGTACACATCGGACATCAGGCCTTGAGTAACACCAAATATAACGATAAGAAACTCGATTAGACCTGCTTTCCAGACGTTTAACGTGCTTTTTCGCCAGTCGACGAAGGGATTATAAACTCTCCATGGGAGTGTTCCAGAGAAAGCGGATGAGAAAAATGTTGAAATTGCGTAGGAGCTGTAGATTCCTTGATAGATCAAATATGCGGCATTACAGCGAACCGCCCAGCGATGCACCTCAGTTTTCTCCTTCGCATCTGAGCAGCTCTCGTCGAGCCGACCTAGAATCTCCTTGACCTTTTCACTGAATCTTGAGAAATGTAATCTTAAAAAGAACACTTTGATTGGCAATCCCATCGCGTTGAAAAGAAGCTGTAGAATCGTCAGCAGTTCACTCAGATTCGTTGACTTCACATCCGTGTCAAATAAAAAGCTGATGAGCATGCCAACCGGGAAGTAAACCGCACTAAAGAGGCATATTAGAATCGAAGCGATCCGGTACAAAAGTTGGTACCGCGCCGGCTTAGCCCATCCTACCCAGAACATGGCAATCTCGAAATAGTGCATTGCTTTCGAAGATGTCAAGAGATTCGTGGCAGTTGGCTTTCCCAAGTATTTGAAATACATTTTCAACTGATTTCTCCGCAGATTTATTTTGACTGTGCGCGGTTGTAGCAATTCCAGGATATTTATGTGATTTTGATAGGTTGCCAATTCGGAGGCCCTGCAATCGCATCAGTGGCGGATTTAACAAGTGGGCAAAGGCGCGCTTGCCCACTGGGCCCCCCCGACGAAAGGCTTTCAGGGCCCCTCGTGCTGAAAGTTACACCTTCGATTTCTTTTCCACAAATCTGCATCAAAATCTGGGAACAAAATTTTTTAAAGATTTTTTGTCAAATTTTCTGGTCTGTCCCCTTCAAAATGTGCAGAATGCATGGGGAGCCCCATATGACCCACTGCGAAGGCCATATCTTTGGAAATATTCATCCGATTCTTGAACGGAATACCTTAAACGATTTGTGGATCGATTCTCCAGAAATCTGCATCAAAATCTGGGAACAAAATATTTTTAAGATTTTTTGTCAAATTTTCTGGGCTGTCCCCTTTAAAATGTGCAGAATGCATGGGGAGCCCCACATGACCCACTGCGAAGGCCATATCTTAGGAAATATTCATCCGATTCTTGAACGGAATACCTTAAACGATTTGTGGGTCGATTCTTCATAAATCTGCATCAAAATCTGGGAACAAAATATTTTTGAGATTTTTTGTCAAACTTTCTGGGCTGTCCGCTTCAAAATGTGCAGAATGCATGGGGAGCCCCATATGACCCACTGCGAAGGCCATATCTTAGGAAATATTCATCCGATTCTTGAACGGAATACCTTAAACGATTTGTGGATCGATTCTCCATAAATCTGCATCAAAATCAGGGAACAAAATATTTTTAAGATTTGTTGTCAAATTTTCTGGGCTGTACCCTTCAAAATACCCTTCAATGTACCATGAAAAAATTTTGCCCACTGGGCCTTTTTCCTTAAATCCGCCACTGAATCGCATTCTAAAATATTTAAATGCAATAGGCATGTTTTCACAATTATTTTTCCTGCAGCCTACGCACGTCAATTATATCAATTACAAAACGCACAGAAATAAAATAATACGACTGTAGTGGTATGTTATTACCAATTATTTTGTAACTATTGGTTGTGAAGGTTTTGAAATGGTTAATAAAATCTGTCAGTGGAAATTATTTTAGTCTAAAATCGATAGTTGAATTTATTTATTTAGTGAACTGTATTTCTAACCTTTAAATAGATTCTAATAATCAAATATAAAATATAGTTTTATTTAATTTCATTGAATTTACTTATCTTTTTTTAATTTTTCTCCAATGTTTAGTTGATTTAAAAATGTAGCAACTGTAAAGGCCAGTTTTGCCACCTAAAATATAAAATATCATTTTTTTTTAAATTTAGTTATAAAATTGTAAACTTACACTGATATTTGTGCTGGTAGATATTGGAAAAATATTGCCAGCTATAAAAGCAATCGACTTTTGAGAGTTTTGCAGAAAGAATCTCAAAGTTCCCTTATATTTTTTACTAGAACTCAGCCAGTTTGAATGGAAAACTGCCACTGAAAGTCGACCACAATCGTATTGAATTAGATCGCAGACATAGCAGAACGGGAAGGTCTGTAGAAGGAGTCCCATTATATAGACAGCGGTGGATAATCCAGACCAGATATCGGCAAACAAAAGTAGATTAATCATGGATAAGCCCAAAAGAATGCCGATGAGTAGAAATTGAACAAAAATAGTTGAGGCTATCACGGGACGAATTAAATCGGCATATCTAGAAAATGTCTTAATTAGGCTTTAAAGATTTAAATTATTTTATTTAGTTACTGTTTGAGGAGTCTGTGGTCCTGGATGCATTTGATCAAGTCTCTTTGATTTTCTTCATCACTTTTTTCGGGATCCTTGCAAAGCTTCTCGACTCGCTGTCGCAGGAGGTTGATGTGGACTTTCATGATCAGTCCATAAAGTAGCGGGTATATATCACTCATCATAGTGTGAGTTGCCGAAAAAATCATCAGAGCATTTTCATGGGAAGCAGCCAACCAGAAGCTCTGTTTACTTTTTCGCCAATCTATGAAAGGGTTATAGATTCCGACCAGCTGACCAGTTAAAGCTGATGAAAGGAAACTGGTTAGCGAGTAAAAGGTGTACAGGGCTTGATATCCGAGGTAGACCTTGTTGCACCGGACTACCCATCGATGCACCTCCAATTGCTCCTCTTCTGTCTGGCATCTCTTGTCCATCTCGTACAATATTTCCTTAACTTTATAGAACCGCCACAAGTAAATTCTGAAGAAAAATACCTTGATTGGAGTGCCCAAGGCGTTGAAAAACAGCTGAAGAATATTCAGTAGTTCCTTGGGAGTTATGCTCTTGGAGTCAAAAATCAGATTGATGATAATGCCAATCGGAAAATAGATCACACACCATGCCGTGATGAAGACTGACATAAGTCTGTAGAGTATTTTGAACTTTTCGGAGTGAGTCCATCCCATACAGAACATGGCGTACTCGAAGTACCGGAATACTTCCGGTGATGTGAGGAGATTTTTAGGAGTTGGCTTTCTTAGGGCTTCGAATAACATTTCGCTGCTATTCACTTCCTGGATATTAAGTCACTGCCATGATTCCCTATGAGCTTTATAGTTTTTGTTTCAATTTCTTTATAAAATATGCCCTGTGACCGCTTTTTAAAACTGTAATTAAATTTTGGTTTTTCCTCCCCAAAAAGCACAGATATAAACAAACTGTGCTCAAGCTGAGTCGATGAATTATAATCAATTACGCAGCTAGTAGTTTTTTGTTGAATACTTGATTCCGTAATAACCTGCAATGCGTTACCAGCTTGAATTTCTTATTTGTTTGCTCTCCACACTGCCACAGGCCTATCATTAAGGAGGCAACAGTTTTCCCACAATCGACCATTTAGCTCTGGCCATACGGATGTAAATGTCTTTGGTGCCATGATTAATATATGTGTGTATATGCTCTTAGCATATACATTGCGTAGCCGACATGTGGGCTGTGGGATGTGGGCACTCTACCCCAGCCACTGCCACTAGTATTGTCTGACTTGTCGGGATGTCGGCAGGCAGACGCGTGTGTTCGAGTTAATTTATAGACTTATCAACACTTAATCACCGGAAAAATGGCATGGCGCATGTGTAAAACGCAGAGTGCCACACAGTGCCACGCATGTTGATTACTGCTCCTGTCTTCGGCGGTATTTCACCCTGGGATGAAGTCAGACCCAGTGCCAGACCCAGATCCTGAACCAGAACAAGAACCACTACCCGAGGAGACAGATACAGAGTGAGCCAGAGGCTTAATAGTTGTTAGTTAGTTGTGCGTGTGATGCCCAGGCTGTTGCTCCTCGTAACACATTTGCCGTAATTTATACTTTATAGCCCGACCAGATATGAAAAGTCGCACATACAAATACATGCTTATATACCTACAACGAGGCACGCATCACTATACCATATAGTAGCATATAGCATAATATCTTGGGCTATATTTTTTCAGCTGCTGTTCAACATGTTGACTTTTATGCCATTTTCTGCGGTTGCCAAGTCAACTGTGGTCAGACTCTGGCCCTGATATTTATGCGTTCATATAAATAACAGCGTCTCCTCCGGCTTTTCCACTGTAACTGTGACTCTCGCACTGCCTCTGACTCCAACTCTTACTTTGACTGGGGCTTATGTTATTAGATTTACTGGGTGTGTGTGTTTGTTTTGTGGGTGTTGTGTTGCCGATGTGGCCATAAAAATTCTGACATTCAAATAAACCGCAAAGAGTTGACTGCATAATTAAAGCTGAATGCGACGACCTTCAATCATGCTTAGGCCCGGCCAAAGTTCATTAAACCAGCTGCTTGCATCCCATTTGTATATCCATCAGTCATCCGCCCAATAAGTCGCAATTGGCCGGGACAATTGTAGGATATACATATGCTTGCTGATTCCAAACACACTCGCCGTCTATGTGCCTAATGATTGCAACAACGTGACGCATCAACATTTTCTATCTTTCACGAATCGGAGTATTTGTTTGGATTTTTTTCACTCTTCCTGGGCCAGAGCTGAGCCGAGTTGAGCTTTATTGCCGGCCATTTGGGCAAACGTGGAAAAACGATGATATGAGTTTTTGTGCCATATGGGCGCTACGATGCCGCTTGATGAAGTATTGTTTCTGGATCATAAACTGATTTGCTTAAAAGCGTGTCTGCCACTCCGACTCTCCGCCACTCCGCCACTAGGCCACTTCGCCTTACGTGCTCCGCATTTCTGGCCTATTCCAATTTTCCGGACCATATTGATTTGGCTTGCGGGCAGCCTTATTACATTTTTTGGCGCCCCTAAACGTGTGCTAATTGCTTTTGTGTCGGAAACCCCCATATAACCACTCGTCCAGAAGAGCCAGCCGCATTATGGCGGACTCGGCTTAGCTTTCGCAGAGCGGCCCATTAAAAATTGATTTATTTTTAATTATCAGTGACGTGCGGCGCAATAATAAATAAACGTGGAAATTTATTGCAACGTCAAAAGCGACGTCGACCTCAACAATGGCGTGCGTGGGCAAAGGATATGTGTATCCATCCACGAGCCCACACTCATACGCGTTCATGCAGTTTCGTTGCGCATTTTGGAAAATGTTTAGAAAGCTAGATTGGAGGGAGAAAAAGCCTCCTACGGTCCGGCATGTTGTTGGCATATTTTACAAACACTTTGCTAATGTTGGCGCTTGTCTAACATGTTTTTAGTTTGCCGACGATGATGATGTTGCCAGTGCGGTGCGGCGGTGCATTATTATTATTATTGCAGCTGTCGCTCATGGCAAAAATGAAAATGTACAACGAAATTCTGTAAAAATTCTATTATCACAGCCATTTGCCATTGTCGCGCCATCTCGTTTGACAACCGCGCAGGCAACAGCATTGTCACCAGAAAATTTTACTAATTTATTAACTAAAGCAACACCATTGGACGGAAACTAGCCAAATATTTGTCATACTTCATGCAGTGTATTCATTTTCACTCTCCAAGCTGTGTGTTAATATGAACCCTCAGTGCTGGATCCTTTGGCACTGGAACCTTTGTACGAATCGACGACCTGTTTAAAATATATTTTTTTGTTTCTGCAAATGACAGATTTCTAATGTTACGTGTATTCTAACCAATGCATCAATGGCTCGTATTGCAATTTTCAGTCACAGTACAGGACCGCACCCATTGTGGTTGGACCTTTTTGTGGCCTGACGCGTTTAATGAATTTTTCATGTCATTGGTGTTGTACTATTGGTCCTGGCCGTTGCCCATTTTCAATTATGCCACAACGCCCCCAATCCCTGCCACTGGGCTCCCGCCTGCCACTTTCCGCATTCAATTCACAACATTCAACTGTACTTACCACATGGCAATTCAAATCAATTTTTGATTTGGCAGATTTACATTTTTTATTCATGACACCAAGGAAAAAGTCTGTTTTTGTTTGGGAAAAATTGTAAATTTATTTTCGCAAACGAAGGGCTGCAGTTTTTTCATATTTATGGCTAAAGGGTAACAGGGTATGTTGAATCGGGGAATAAAAAATATAGTTTGGATTACAAGTCCGAAAAAGTTTGCAATTTAATTCAGGTCAATTACTTATTTTAAACTCTACAATTAGCCATGAAAAGCATTTATTTCAATATTTAAAACAGGCATTTATTTTATTTCTTTTATTGAAAGAAATTTTGAAAGATTTAAGCTGAACTATAAATATTAAAAATTCAATGAGAATGCAAGCAAGCGGTAACTATGACGCTGGCCATGTTTAGTCAGGAGTATTATTGCTTTTGAAAGCTATTTATTTGAGGCCCTTTCACTCGGTTTATCTGCTCCTCTTACACTGATGAGCGCCACACTGGCAATATATTTTATTCACATGCTAGTTTTTTCCGCGATGCGGTAATTGATACGCTAAACTGCATAACGCAGATTATGACGTTAACATGGAAATGGCCAAATGAATTGCTGGCATTGAATGTTGGCCAATAAATGGCAGTTGTGTTGGCAAAAGCACCCGGGAGGGGGCCAGCGAGAAAGCGAGTTGCGCAGCGCAACAAAGGAAATATTTAAATATTCAATAGATGAAAAAATGAACACGATGATTATTATTATTTTTATTATTATGATTGCATTTTGTATTAAATTTGCATGCTATCATGTAGTTATGCATTCTGTTGGATTTAATTATTCACATTATCTGCTAATTTTTTTATTTGATTCTGATTATTTTATGCGCTTTTTGCCAGGCCAGTTTTTGGAATTTAATATGCCATCGGCCATCGTATAGGTAATTGTGCTGGGGGAATGTGAGTAAAAAGTTTGAAAAGCAATTTAAAATGAAATTTATGAATTGTGTGCACATAAAATGCAAAAGCCGTGCGAAGCCAAGCAAAGCGTAGAAATGGCAATTGCTCCTTTTGCGCCAGAAGGTAATTAGAATTCATGACACGCTTATGAAATATCACACATACGCAGTGTGGCTCCCTCGTCTTCCCTCACACTCTTTTGATTTACGATTTTCAAATACACACTCTCTCGCCCGTACACATACACCCGTACTCCCAATCCCAAGCCTGGCAGCAATGCAAAGTAATTTATGACAATGCCTTGGCCACAAAAACTGCGAATTGCAATCAAAGCCAAAAATGGCTAAGGCCAGGCCAGAAGCTCATATAAATGTCAGGAAGCTAACGATGGATGCGATCCTGCCCGGAGCCGCTCTGCAGATGCATTAGTTGGCCACTTGGATGACTCTCCATATCTTACATCCTTTTCTTATCCCTTTTTCTCTCAAGACACTGGCATTTGAGTCTGTTGCCCCGGCTAAAAACAAAGCTCCACTCCATTGAGGCAACTGTCTGAAATAGTGTCATGATGTACTTGCCTTCTGCAAGATATGTACATACAACGTTTGCATAAAAAATGGCTTTTCTATGTAGGTTGTGCCGTGTTTTTTAATGGCGTGAAGTCAGCGGCGCGTAAATAATAAAAAAATAAAAAAAAAGTAACACAGCACAGAAACATCATGAGGCATCTTAATAAATTACTTTGGGGATTTGGGTGCACAATTTTTAATATTGCCAGGCCGTGGCCCAGACAGCCACATCGTTGATGTAAAGCCACAAACACAGACACATATACATGCACGCCCCTACCGCCGTGTGGGGTGTGGGGTTGAGCGGCTGGTAGGTGTTCCTCCGACAGTTGCTTGACATTTCGAGTTTAATGAAATTTATGCAATTTTTCTTATTTGCCAAATGCACTGCGGCGGCATTTGCAGCTCGCCCGCGGCGTCAGCAACACGCCAAAGTGCAATGCATCAAGCGGGTGGTTTTGTGCCCAGAAAAGGGGTGACGAGGGACCCTAGTGGGCGTTGAGGTGCTTAGATATAGACACTACTGACAGCTCGGGTCAAAGAGCACTGGAAGAAAGAAAAGCTTTTCAATCGGCTATTTTACTGGTAAAGTTTGTTTGTTTTTGAAAAGTGAGTAAGAAAGTGAGCTTAAAAAAAGTACTAAGCTATTGTAAGCATT